ATAATTCTATGATCCACAATTGAATATTAATACTTTAAGGACTTTTAAAAACTTATTTTAAGTTATCCTTTAACTACTGTTAATTCATAAACGTTTGTGGGAAATTTATGTTCCATTAACTGGCAGAAATACTCTTTTATGCTCGGGTATATTAATCACATCTAATTGCAGCCTTTCAGGCAATACATGTGTATTCTAATATTATCAATTAAAAAAACTAAGTTCATTTTAATCTACTGCAATTGAAGCAATTATATTAATATTTAATGAGAATTTTATTAACTCCTGGATGTGAAATAAGAAAGAACTTGAATTTTTATAGCTACTTATAACATCAAAATGTCTTAAAGCACTTCACAGGTAATTACTGTGTGCGTCAGCAAGGTCACCGAAACAACTATGAAGTAAATGACCAATTGATGTGAAGGACTGTTGGCCAGAACATCAGTTTCAAAGAGAAACAAGAAACTCAAAACATACAGTCAAAGACTAATCAGAAAGTAACAGCAATGAATATGAAAATTCTCTAACATTAAGCATTTTAGAATAGCCGTCTTAAAATTCAACTTCAGCCACCTGGTTTGGCAATGAATCAATGCAGTGTCACAGTCATAGGGTGTGAGTTAACAACTGTGGTTTATGATACCGTAAGTTCTCCATCTCAAGCCGTGACCAAACCTTCTCCACAGTGAAAGAATTAAAAATTAGTGAATTTCAGATCCCAGCAACTAATGGCAGAGGCTCAGTGTCAGCGACCAGCAGCAGGTTCCTTGCCTTGCCTTTTAAGCTGAGGAATGGTGTGCCAGGGTGGGGAAGGGGAGGAATTATCTAAAAGGATAATAGAAATAACTCAGAAGCAAATATAAATGAAAAGATTAACTCTGATTGAATTAATCATTTTTGCTCCAGTTGTGCAAGTTAACAGATCATTCATAAACGATTGATATATGAATGCCTGAAAATCACGTGGTTTTGACGAAGAACGGTTTCTTTCCAATCTTAACTCAATATTAATTTGTTGCAGCTATTAAATAAGAGTATTTTCATAAGATAGGAAAAAATGCTGACGGTTCTGGGCAACAAAAATAGAAAAATAGCAAATTAAATTGAATGCAGAAAAGAACTGATTTATAAGTCAAAGCTCTTTGCTAAGATGATATTGAAAAGAATCTATGATCCAATTAGATCTGACAAAACTAATTCGGAACTGCTCACCATCATGTTCACCCTGAATATTTTCAAGAGTTTTAATGCACACTATAAAAATCTTTCAAGATTTTGTATTTTGTATAACTATAGTCACCATTGAGATAATTCAAAGAATAAACCTTTTGAAATACAAAATATTAAATAGGACACATTAAAATGCATTATAAATGTATGTGTTACTCTGCCTAGAAAAAGACAAACTGCAGGTTCTCCGCAGCAGGTGAGAAGTCTTGTGCGCAGATTTGAAGCGTAAGGAGGATGTCATCATCGGCATGGCTTGAAGGAGGCAAGGGAAGGAGTGAGGCAAAGGGAATGTGGGATGGAGTGTGGGGGACATGGAGTAGGCCAGAGCCTGCTGAGCCGAGGGAGCGGACAGGATGATAAGGGGTTAGCAGTTTTGAGAGATGGGGGTGGGGGGGAAGGGCAAGGCCAGGGAAGGCCTTGAAGGTGAAGACGAGAATTTTGACTCAATCCTCTGAGAGATGGGGAGCCACTGGAGCCGGGCGAGAGTGGGTGTGATGGGTTAACGGAGCCTGGTGCGGGAGAGGACACGAGCTGCAGATTTCTGGATGATCTGCAGCTTGTGGAGGGAAGAGGTGGGAAGGCCAACAAGGAGGGCGTTGGCATAGTCAAGCCTAGATGAAATGAAGGCATATATGATGGTTTCACCGGTCTGAGGGGTAAGACAGGGCAGAGTCGGGCGATGTTGAGGAGATGGGGGAAGGCAGAGCGGGTCATGGTACTGATGTGTGGGAGAAAGGACAGTTGAGGGTCGAACAAGACATCTAGGTTATGACTGGCTTGGTGAAGTGGATGCCGATGCTGCCGGTGCCTGAGGTGCGGATGTGCTGGCGCGAGCCAATCAAGAGAGTTCAATTGCTTGCTCAATTGTACAAAGTTGGCTCCCATCTAAGATTTGATGTCTGACCAGCAGTCTGTCAGGACAGTAATGGTCCTGGAATCGAGGGTGGAGACAGAGAGATAGAGGTGGGTGTTATCCGCATACATTGGAAGTTGACGCCATGTCTGTGGATGATGTCACCAAGTGGGAAGGGAGCAAGTACAGAGGAAGTTGAAGAGGAGAGGACCGAGGACAGAGCCCCGAGGAACACCGCACAAGACTGTACAGAGGCTGGAGAAGAAGCCATTTGTGGAGAGAAAGTGGAGCTGGTGTGAGAGATATGATCTGAAATATTCAAGGGCAGAACCTTGAAGGTTGAGGTGAGAGGAGAGCCGGTGGAGGAGGATAGAGTGGTCCACAGTGTCAAAGGCAGCAGAGAGGTTAAGGAGGACGAGGAAACAGAGGGAGCCCTGGTCACAGATGGACAGGATGTCATTTCATACCTTGACCAAGTCTGCTCCGTGCTGAGCAACACAGAAACCCAGCAGCAGGAGAGGAAGGAGTGGAGCTGGGAAACAACAACTCTTTCAAGGACTTTGGAAAGGAAAGGGTCGCTGGAGATGGGGCGGTAGTTAGTGAGCTGGGATGGGACCAGGGAAGATTTTTTTTAGGATAGGGGTGATGACAGCTGTTTTTAGGGGGGTGGGAATGGTGCTAGTTGACGTGGAGAGGTTGACAAGGTCTGAGAATAAAGGGGCGAGGAGGTGGAGCTGGGAGGTAAGTAGAGAGATAGGGTTGATGGGCTTCATGTAGTTATAGTGGTGGTGAGAGAGGAGGGGGAGACAGGTTTGAAGCTGTGGAGGGAGGGGTGGGAATTAAGAGATACTCATTTTTTCTTATCTGCAAATGAACATTGATTCAGTTTAAGCCCTGCACATCAAGTACTGTAAATGTCAGAAGGCCCCTCTATTGTGGACAAAAAGGTAGAATGGATTAAGAGTCGAAAAATGATACAGTTTCAAATCATTATTCTGTTGAAGAGCTGAAAGGTTTCACCAATTCTGTCAACAGTAATTAATCTGTCTCACTTCTGGAACTGTGAATTTCTAAATTGTTTTTACTGAAGAACAGCAAACGACATCTGCAGAATAGGGAATCCACCTCTCCCAAGACTGCAGAGTAGTAAAGGGGCACTGTCTTGATGAAACAAAATGTTCAGCAAACCTTTTTTCTTTGTTTACAAACATCATAACATAGAAAATAATAAAATGTTTCACTGTGTCACTTGTTCATGATGTCCCTACAAGAAAATTTTTTTCTTTTTGAGCAATAAATCACAGTTGGACAGAGCCATTATTTGGAACACAATATAAAAAACATGTACAAAGATGTATGACCATAAACAGGCATGTGTGCAGCTCCAGGTTGACTCCTGAAATTCGGGATGGTGCTACAGGTCTACTACAACTGATCAACAAGAACGATAACTCTGCAAGTCCAGGTACTTGATCTATATTGTGAACATCTCAAGGGAATAATCACAAGAGATAACAATATTTGGGCATAGAAGATTATATCTCAATAACAATCAAGGGACATCTCGTGGAACGTCAAAAACAGGCGAAAAAAACTTGTGAAAATGAAAACATATGGAAATTGGACGGCTGCCTCTCCGCGATCATTTTTCATCAGAGACACAATTTAATGCTAAAAAAAAGACAGTTCCCTAAAGGTTTCCCAATTATCATTTAGCAATTCCCTAACGGAATCATCATTAATCATTTCCTTTTCATTGCACAGGGAGACATCTTTATGTTGGCTTAATTCCACATTCATGTAACCTGTCCAACCCAACAGAGAAACAAATTGAGAAATGATGAAAAGGTTCTAATGGATTATGAAAGGAGGTCACAGTACCAAGACTATAAAAATGAAATCAAAGCATGAAATGAATAGCTATTTATGTCACAGTGAAAGATCAGGAAAAGTGATCATCTCAGTCAAAAGAAAAAAATAGGATAATGATCATTAAAGCAACAGTGCTGAGGCATTTGAATCTCATCTACATAACAGAAATAGCTGTGGTTAATTTGCATAATTTAGAAAATTTTGAAGCTGAAAATTATTTCATTATGAGTGATTTAAATGAACACCAGGATGTTTTTTTAACCTTTTGAAAGTCAACAGAACCAGTTCCTTGTTTCCACTAGAAGTCACAGTAATCATTCAATCAGCATCATGGTGCATTTTATCATCTGAAAAGAACATCCCACTTTGACAAATAATAACTATTTAGAAAGTGCAACTTTTCTGCACACAATCTAAAACATTTAGATCAGTTGATGAGTCAATACCAAAGCAATTTATTCCACAAAACAATTAATTTGACGAGGCAATAAAACAGGCTGTGAAGCAATATGAAATGTTAGAATGTAACCGCACTTAAAATCATCCATTGTCACAAACATTTCAGACTATAAAACTGAAGTCAATGACATGCGTAAAGAACATTCCAATCAGCTGAATGGAAAATACAGTCTGAAAAAGATTCTGCATTCAATTTATGTCTGATTATTGAGATGTTGGACAGTGCTCAGAGTTAGAATCACAAGATAGGAAGGAGGATTCTCAGATTGAGAACTTTATCATTCCCATTTGAAATTTATGTATCTCCATTAGGGTCCCCCATTTTCGACAATATAATCTAATATCTACATAACAATGTAATAGTGCAAGCCTGTGTGGTTATGTCACAAGATATCAAACTATTGTATATTAATCTACATAATATATAACATTTGATGAACCATTTGTCCCCTTATCAGCAAGATTACAGAAAGCATTTTTCACAGTGATACACTTAGATCTTTATGTATTTAGTGCAATCATTTACTTAAAACTCATTCTTCACACACTTCAAAGAATATCTAAAGAGTATGCAGATACTTACAGGACCTCGTAAATCAATGAGTTCTTGCCTCATCTGTGATATAAGGGCTTCTTTGGCCATCAGAGATCTGTGTAACCTCTCATTGAATTCTATCAGTTCCCCGTGCATCTCTGCCACCTGAAAAACAATGAAGCAGACAATTAGACACAAGGCAAAATCCAACAGGGACGAGAGCTCAAATGTTTGGATCTCAGTCTTGCTGGGATGATTAAAAGAGTCAAGAAATATGTTTTTTTTTTAAAAAGTGCTTCTTAAATAATTTGTTGAAAAATATATATTTTAACAATAAAAATTAATATAATAATAATCCTTGCATTTGATATAGCTCTTTTCATGTCTTCTAGACATCTCAAAGCACTTGACAGAATATACTTTAAAGTGAATTGAGTGACCAAATTATTATTGTTTTTTTTTCTTGAGGGATTATTATCCCAAGAAAGTGATCCGCCAATTGACTGTAACAACTGGGTTTCTACTAACTGCTAGGTAAGCAGAGGCGCATGGAGTAAGGAATCTTGCCCAACATTTTGCCCTGCCGGGAATCAAACCCAGGTCTCTTCGCTTGCGAGGCGAGTGCTCTAATCACTGAGCTACAGGACTCCACATGATATGATATATATATATATATATACACACACACAGTAATACTTCTCAATTTCCAGATTATAATCAATTTCAGACACAAATCGGTGTCATAATTACAGCATCTGATATTCAAAAATCTTAAAAAATTTTGAGACATGTTCATGTCCCTCCACGGCCTTGCATCCTCCTAATGCGAAAGGCGCTACACAAATGCAATTTTTTATTTGTTGTTGACCCTACAGCCATGACCTCCCCTCAGCAAATACTGGCCTGCTTCATGTGTCCTGCTTGGTTCACCCAAAGAGTGCGCGAGTTTTCATACATTCTGCTCCCACTCTCTGGAACTCACCTATGTCTTCCAATTTATCTTTTTAACCGTACTTGCAATTGAGGAGAGGGGATGCCTCCCCAACTGACATGGACAGTAAACATTTTTTTACAGCCACATCAGTTGTGTATCAGCTTTTTCAATGAATGGCATTTTGTAGTCATTTCTCAAAAATCATAAATACAGCCTTAAGATTTATATGATAGTTAATTCCTTTTTCTTGTCTGACACTTGCTGAAACCTATTAGCATGTGTAATCCAGACCAGCAATTCCAAATTCTGAGTTCAGTGGTTAATTGTCCAAAGCCATGCCAACATAGTTATAGCTGGAATGGGGTAAGGTTGTAAATTGTAAGACGTTTGAGCGAGGCATATCAAATGGAAGATTTTATACTCTTTATTATAATGAAATCATCATAACTTTTCACTGAAACCCGGCTAAGTTTTTTGCACATATAAATCACTTCATCTGGTGCTGCAGATCACTGAAGCACTACATAAACCTCTTATTGTTTGCAAGTTATTATCTGTTCATGGAGTGACATATTCCAGATCTACATCAAAAATGCTTTAAAAACTCAATGTCTTATGTTTCTGTAATGGTACTCTCAACAGGCGGTGTAGTTTTTTTGTTAAAGAGTTACCATTATCGACTCAACTGAGAACTTCAGAGTTTAGATCTTTTTATTGATTCCTAAGAAAAACGCCTTTACACCTTTACAGTTGCACTTTGGTTAAAGTATGCCCAGTTGAAACATTTCTGTCAACATCAATACTGGACAGCTTGATACCCTTGATATTTATTCCTGGCCTAAATATCTCTAATACTCCACGTAAAAAAGGGACAGTTTTCTGTCTTCTGAATAAACCAGGATTATAGCTATGTAATGTTCAACGATGAACATTAATGTACACAGAAATGATGTACAAGATTAAAATATATGCTTGTTTGATACAGTTTGCTATGTTTCCGTTTCTATTTCAAAACTTAAAATTTGCCTTCATACTGTATATTGTACTTTCTGAAGCACAAGTTTGTTTTTTTCAGTCATTGGCAAATCTTACACTTGATTTGCCTGGAATAAATCATGTTTTATTATCATACTGCTAGGAAATAGGGATTTGAAGCATCAACCGGAAATCATAATTTCCTTGAGCAAGAATAAAATCCATGATTTAGATGTACATCCACTCCATCAATGCTGAAACGCCAATATAATGTGCCACAAAGAATCCATCATCTGTAAAGGAAAAAGCTACAATAATACAAAACTTGCATTTATAATAGCTCCTTTCATGTGAATATCTCAAAATATTCGTCAAATATTATGAGCAGAGAAAAAAGAAATTTGATGTTGACCAAAAGCATTTGAAGTGGTATTCATTTAATAAACAATAATAATGCTTGCACTTGATATATTATCTTTCACATTGGGAGGGCATCACAAAAGGGCTTCACAAGATTCTCTGTAAAGTACAGTGATTGTTTATTTTGTAGGCAAATGCAGCAGTCAATTTGCATACAGTAAATTCCCATGAACAGCAACGGAGTCAATGATCAATTGTACCTATGGGATTGTTGCCAAATGCTGTGAGAAACTCACTTCTCTCTTTGAATAACGCCATGGGATATTTTAATGTTCACCTGAACAGGCAGACAAGCCCTCAACTTAATGTATCATCCAAAAGACATCACCTTCAACAATGCAGTGCAACCCAGAACTGCTTGGAGTGTCAGCTTAAGCGAAGCAAAGTTAAAGTGCTGAGATAGACCTTGAACCTACAACCTTCTGACGCAGATATCCTTTTTTAAGCAAGAACCAGCCACCGCAATTTCTAACTTTTCGCACACAATGTGGAAGGTCATACAAGGAGAAACCAATGATGTGTATGTCGATTTTGAAGTACAGGACAGTTGTGGCTGCACTCTGCCAATTCTGTCAGACTTGTCAAAGAATCATAGAATCATACAGCACAGGAGGCCATTCGGCCCATCGTGTAAGTGCCGGCTCTTTGAAAAGAGCTATCCAATCAATCCCACTCCCCCGCTCTCTCCCAATAGCCCTGCAAACTTGTCTTTCCCAAACTTGTGCAGTTCAAATGTGTCAAATTTGACACAAGCAGCAGGACAGGGAGATGAAGCATCTGCAGCATCCTTATCAGAAGCCTGATTAACATTTCATACACTCTGCCAACACCTTAATATTTTATATATAACATGCATTTGATTTAGCTCCATTTCACATTGTCGAGATGTCTCAAAGTACTTCACAAGTGTCGTGACTGTTCATGTGTTGGCAATGTCCATACAGCAATGTCCCACAAACAGCCATGAGGTGAATGACCAATTTTATTTGGGAGATTGTTGGTCAGGACATCTTTTGTGTAACAAAATCCAGAATTAGCAAAATATGGAGTGATCCTACATTTAGAACACTGGATATCTGGATGTTTTTGTGCTTTTACACTCTATGTGACTTTATGTAACAGCACATCACATACAGTATAGAAAGTGCATTGATAATTTCAGTTTCAAGTATCTGTTTCCAATGATCAAGAACTCCCGAACAATAGTCTTGACATCTAGAAACCTTGGGATGTCCTCCTGAAAGCCGTTATATAAATCTACATTTGTATTGTGTTGCGTCTAGAAGCCTAGCTCTAATAATGAGGATACAATAAAAGACAAAAAGAAATCCAAACAAGAACAAGCAAACTAACCTGCTAATCAGATACACTGGAGATCAGCTGTTATATTTATATTCAGCGGCTGGCAGCCAACAACTCATTCATTACAGAGACAGGCTGTTATGGAGTCTGAAAGTGTAGTGCTTTTATCTCATACTTTGCCTTCAGAGTAAGGCTCAATTATAGAATCAAAGTAGTAAATTGCAATACTGTAAACTTTAGTGGGTGAATGTGCTAACCACTATGGGAGCAGGTGATGTGTTAAACCTGCAAAACACAGTTTACAATAAACCCAGTGAAGCGCTTTGAGACATCCTGAAATAAAAGGTCTTTATCAAAAGTCAGGATTATTATTTTCAAGAAACTCCCACCCCCTGAAATTCCACACTGCTTCCCCGAATAAACACAAGAGAAGAACTGGGTTCAATTCCCAGGCGGGATGAAACCTTAGGCAAGTTTCCTTACTCAACACACACGCCTCTGTTTACCTAACAATAAGTAGGAACCCGAATGTTAATCGATTGGCAGAAAAATCCCTTGGAAAAAAAATAATAATTTGGTCACTCACTCAATCCACAACTGCTTGTGGGACACTGCTGTGTGCAAATGGCTGCCTCATTTCACCTATAATAATAATAATAATCCTTGCATTTGATATAGCACTTTTCACGTCGGAAGGACGTCCCAAAGCGCTTCACAGAATATACTGTAAAGTGAATTGATTGTATATTTGTGGGCGAACGCGGCAGCCAATTGCGCACAGCAATGTCCCACAAACAGTCGTAGATTGAAAATGACCAATTTATTATTGTTTTTTTTTGGAGGGATTGCAATTATTATTATTAACCTACAAAATATACAGTCAATTCACTTTACAGTATATTCTGTGAAGCGCTTTGAGATGTCTCAACGGAGTGATAAGGCATTATTATTATTATTATAGATAGTTTAAAACATCTACTTTGTAAAAAGATTTTCCCAAAACTGCTACGAAAGGTATTGGGTGATACCCATACAAAAAGATTTGTGAGTCAGTATAAAACAATACACACACACCTCAAAATATTCTTTCAAATTCTTTCAGCTGCTGAAAAATGTCGGTTTTCTTTCTCATTATGATGAAAGAAAATTCAAAATATTGACCATTTCGTACCAAACGCAAGATGCTTTTAAACTGCAAAAACATTTAATCTTTGCTCACACAGATTTTTTCATTCAAAAACAGAGCACTTCAATATGAGACTTTTCTTTTCTGATAAGGGGAAAGGATTAAATGTAAGTGTAAGATTAAATGTAAATGTAAATTGCTGTGTTCTGCCCCAAATCACTGAAACCTGGACTTATGAGAAAAAAAAGTCAATTTACCCACGTTTTGACACAAAATTAATTTCTTTCCAATATAGCAAATTTTATATTTATATGAAAATTCCTCTGATACTTCCAGATGAGAAGTCTGACCTATTGGTTTGTTTAATGAAATCCTTTCTGCACATTCATGACTGCGCTGTAACGCATC